GCAGGAACTTCAGATGTGGTCAACAACCAAAGTCATTTGATCTGTTGCAATAGCTCATGTTTGATTTCTCCTTGATTAGTGTATGTAGCTCAAAATATATTGCTTCCTTTTCACCAGGAGGGGGTCAACCTCTCATGGGAGATGATACCTGACCATTAATTGCAAGGCACAGAGGAGAAAATGACCGAGATAATTCAGTGAAGTTATCTGAGATTTCAACCCCCAAAATATTAAATTATTTTTTAAATTTAAATTTTATTAAAAGTTTTTTTAAAAATGAAGTGGATTGTTACTAGTTTTGTGTTACATGGACACCTTCCTTCCCACTTCATAACTTCTCTAAATATTTCTTGGGGAGAATGATGGTTTGGTTCACAACAGACAAGTGAAAAAACCAACACCTACTACTGCAATCACCTTAGAAGGCTCCTTCTCACCTGAATAGTTTGGTTGTAGATATGGATTAGGAAACAGACCTAGGTGATGTACATAGTAGGCATCTGTTGCAGAACACCTTAGCAATAAAAGGAGGTAGATGAACCTTTCTTCAGAAAGCTGGAAGACGCCTCATGATTGCAGGCCCTGGTACTTGTGAGAGTTTAAATCACATTGATATCTGCTTGGACAGCAAGTTGGTCTTAAAGGAGAGCCTCCTCAAAGCACAGGAAGAGTCCATTCCAATTCAAAGCAAGCCAAGCAAGTGTGGCATAAGGCCACCTTGGCTGAACATGGATCTTTTGACCAAGCTCAAACACAAAAAAGAAATACACAGAAGAGGGGATAAAGCACTTAACTGGAACGTAGAGATATTTTCCGAGCACACAAAAATGGAGTTACAAAAGCCAAAGCTCAGCTAGAGTTGAAACTACTGAGCAATTTAAAGGGCAAGAAGGAGGGCTCTTTTAAGTACATTGGTAGCAAAAGGAAATGTAAGAAAAACATGGGTCTGCTGCTCAGTGTGTCAGGAGAACTAGTGACCAGGGACATGGAGAAGACCATGGTAGTCAATGTCTTTTCTGCCTCAATTTCCATGGAGGAATGTCATTGGAAGGCTGCTTTGTATCACCTTCAAAAGGTCACAGCAACCTGATGACTCGAGAAAGGCAAACATCACATCCATCTTTAGGAACAGCAGGAAGGAGGATCCAGGGGACTACAGTCCAGTCAGTCAATCCTCAGTGCCCAGGAAGATTATAGATCAGCTCCTTTTGGAAGACATGCCCACACATGAAGAAAAAGAGGTGACTGGGAACAGCCAGCACAGATTTATCATAGAAAAATCATGCCTGATTAATCAGATTGCTGTTTCTGACAAGATGACTGGCTTCATTCCCTTTTACACAGCACTGGTGCATATCTGGGGTATTGTGTCCTGCTTTTTGGCTCCCCAACTCACAAAAGACATTGACATACTGGAATGAGGTCAGTGGAGGGCCACCAAGCAGGTTAGGGGACTGGCTCACATGATCTACAGGTAAGTTGGGAAAAGAAGGTTTGTTCAGGCATCAAAGAGGAAGGCTAAGGGGAGATCTTACTGCTGTTAACAATTACCTAATGGGAAGGTGTAAGGCAGACAGAGCTAGACTTTTAGAAATGTGCATGGATAGGATGAGACACAAGTAACACAGAGAATTCCAGTTACACAAATGTAAAAAAGGTTTTTACCATGAGAGTGGTCTAGCACTGCAACAGGTCTCCCAGAAAGACTGTGGAATCTCTGTCCTTGGAGATACTCAAAACTCAGCTGCACAAGGTCACGGTCCATGTGACTTAATTGGCATTGCTTTGATCAGGAGTTTGGACTGGTTGACCGAAGGTGTGAATTAACATCCTTCTAATGCTAAACATGGTACTTGGGATTGTCCCAGTTCAAAGTTAGGAGAAGCATTGATAGAAACACATGTAAAGCATATATGCTCAAGTATCTTTACTTTAGCAGCATCTAGAGGCCCCAGCATGAATGGTGCCTGTCTCAAACACTTGTGAGTGACAGTCTCAACTTTGGACAGATTGTGGAGTCTGGACTAGTTGACCTTCCCATATTCATTCCAGCCTAAATGGAATAACATTATACAAACAAGCTACCATATAGTAACAAACCATACCTTCCAGAGATAACTGCTCAGCACAAAGCGATCATAGGATATGTCTACACATTCACATGTAAGTGAAGGCAAGCCTGCCCATGTGCCAAGGTGGCCTGAATTGATGTGACTGTATCAACACATCATCAAGTCTTAATTAATTCTGAATACAGTTCTGCCCCAGTTTTAAAACCTAGCCAACTGTACTTCTTTTGAGTACCTATTCACAGTGCTGCATTGCACAAGTGAGAGAGAGAGCTACTTGGAAGCAAGTGTACAGTGGACACAGGAGGCTTGCATGGTGCAGTGTAGTACATGACATAGAAATGATGATACGCAGTGTTGAAGACTCTGATCCTCTACAATGTGTCTTGGTCAGAAGAATAACTAGTTTTGCCGATTTGAATATCAAAACTATTCTTTCATAAAAGGGCTAAAAGTTCTCCAGACTTCTAAACCCAGTACCATGTTTTCTTATATTCTGTATAAGAATATGTATTAATAATAATTTATAATTAATAAAGCAGTAGCTTCCGCTTTACACTTACACTATGTTGCTTACCTTATGTAAACAGTGAATATCATTAAATGTTAAGAAAAAGTGCAACTGTTAGCACCCATGTATCAAAAATTCACAGAAGGGAAAATATCTCAATGTCAAATGTTATGAGTATCTCTTAGTACATCGATAATCACAAGTCATGATGAAACTTTTCTTTTCAACTTTGCCCTTTTCAATACTAAATCATTACACACGTGCATTAGATAGTAAATTAGAGTATTACTTACTGTGTCCTACCCTGAATCGTCATTACACTCAAACACTAAAACAGTGACAGTATGAAGCATGTGACCTACTTACTGCAGTTTGTCTGGCTGTTTCTCATCTCACAGAGAGAAGTTCCACAGGGATCAGGACAGGAAGTACATCTCTGGTCTCCCTCCTGACAGAGGGTTTGACCTGAGGAAAACAGAAATTTACTATTCTAATTATTTACCAGGGTAATAAAAATGACTGGAGTGTAGTGATGAGAAAATACAGAGTTTACCTTACAAGTATTTCCTTTACATAGCTGAATAAGTACCCTACAGCATTTCAAGTGCAGTAAGGAAGTGTTGTAAGGAAAAGTGAGCAGGTGTCACTTTTCTTTACCGCTATGTTTAATATAAGAATTTACATCCCAGTTTCTGAATGAGAGATATGGACCTCTGAAAGCCATCTACCGTGATCCTCTGGCAGAGTATGAAAAGTCATGCAAAACAGATTTCAAAGGAAACAATAGGTCCTAGCTGAAAGAGAATACTCTCTGGGAATTATTCTTCAGTGTCATTCAGTTGATCTGCTTCTTGTTTTACAATAGTTTTAGCAGAAAATAAAAACCACCCTGAAGAAAGGTTGTTATTGTCCTTCTTTGGCTGGTTAAAACACAAACAACAAAAGAAACCCCAAAAGGCTATGGTCCTAAAGATGGAACTCAGAATAACTAAACCCAGCACTTCATCAAAAAGTTTCTGAGCACATTACCTGGGTAATCAGTTCCTCTGACAAATCCCTGGACTTCTCTCTATCTCATAGTGGTGACAGCTCCTTTCCAAACTGTTAAATTCTCTCCTCCATATGACTTTTGCAAAATCAGTCATTTAATTTACTATTCTGTACACAGAGACTGAACAGTTCGTATTTTATCATATCGTCTTGTTAAAAATGGTTTATTGCAACTATTGCTTAGTGTCTGCATTGCACTACTGTCCATGAACATTAATCATTCAGTCACAGCATCCTTATATTGGGCATAGAGAAGATAGTGAAGAAACATCTTGTTTCAATGACCTTGACAATAACCTTGTCCCAAAGAACTGATGATGTAGTCATATTTATTCATAATTATGTGGATTTACTTCCCTTCATACATATTACACATTGCTGAAGCAATGGAGGTACTTACCTTTGCTGTAGGAATTGACTGTCTCTTTTTTACAGGTGCATCTGATAGCAAAATGGAACTTAAAAGGTAGAGAAAACCTTTTGACTTCTAAAGCTATCACAAATCTTCAGATTAAAATTAATTTTTAAAGTTTACTCCACCTCCTTCTTATCCCACAGTGGAAGTTTCTCAGCACTTTAAAAACCCCTCTCCTACAGTGTAGGTTCTTTTGACCCCAGCACAGTCAATGCTAAATTTCTATAAACACACTCTACCCTGTCTTTTGAAGGGATCACAGAACCAGCTGTGAGTACATCTATGTTGTCACAAAATAAATGACATTAGTAATATTAATAGGTGCCATACTTTACACTTCCTTAAGTTATGTAGAGAAGGAGATCATTTTTCTCATGATATAGATGAAGCAATGGTCATTTGTAACCCCTATATGTACATACTGGTACTATTACACAGGGTCCCTGTATCTTCATATGAGCAAGTGACAAGTCGCTACATCTTGACCTCAAATTTCTATGCTGATTTCACATATTTAGCATTTTGTAACAAAACCAATACTCCAGCTCACTTCAGACCTAATTTCACTGCCTCTGCTAGGCAAATCCAGATTGCTTGATGTGTAAAGCAGAGAAGCCTTTGTATTACACCCTATTGCATTTTCTGAAATTGATTGAAATCAATAACATACGTAAGAAATAAAAAAAGTTACAAACAAGAATTCTGACTTGCTTTTACATGGACTTCGCAAGGAACTAAAGAGCAACAATCCAAATGAAGTCCAAATTCTGCCTACATATTCTCAGTGTATAGTTGCGTAAAGGAAAAATTTTGTTCTACACAATATTGCAAAATATTAGACAGAGGTTTTTGCACATTGAAGAATAAATGTAACAACAAGGAAAACTTCTGTAATTAAAACCTTTGCAGTTTAAAGGCTGCAATCTGAAGCTATACCTTACCAGAAACAAGAGAACTAATTACACACGAAAAATACCTTTAAATGCTGAAACTATCAAACATGGCAATATTTCTTTCTAAGTGCCAACATGTACCACAGGACAGAGGTCTTTGGGAAACCATGTTCCAGGGCTCAAGAAACTGCCTGGTTTCCTTTTCTTTCATATAATCCATCATGAAACAGCTATTAAGTCACTGTGAAAACTTGCATTCTCATGTATTTTCCCTTACTCACACTAAATCACTAGTTTATTTATGAAAACATCCCTTCTCTGATTCCCAAGCTCTGATGAAAAAAAGGATTTTAATGAGAAAATTCTTCCTCAAATGACACCAATTCCTGTGACAGGAGCTTCTAATTGCTGCAGACAATGTGAACATGTAATAATTTATCTCAAGTAACAGCTGATTGTGTCAGATAACCAAATACTATGCTAAATATCACCTCCATTTCTTTAACTTCTTATATTTTTAAGGACTAATAAAACTCTGCTTACAACTTCCTGTGTGAAAGCAGACACTAACCAGCCTTAGCAAGTGTTATTTGAAAGGCAAAGAAGGTAAAGTGTCGGACAGCTTTAGCTAAAGGCACTTCAAAACAAAGCAGTCCTACAGCAGTATGATTAAAATGAGGGATATCCTTACTTTCACTGCAGTTTTCTTCATCACTTCCATCTTTACAGTCATTATCTCCATCACACTGGAATGCACTAGGAATGCACTGCCCATTTCTGCATTCCACCAGACCCTGACTATGACATGCTAGAGAGAAAAAAGGACAATATTCTGATCAACTTAGGTTAATGAAGGTCCGAATTATTTTTGAACATCATCTTGAAGTTATTTTAGGAGGAGCTGATAACACTGCTTAGCACTGAAGGTCACTAGACACTTTTCATCATAGGTAGGCTATGTTTTCAATAGCCTACAGCTGTGCTGATCTTTAATTACAGGGACTGAAACTATATATGTCAGGTATTAGCAACAGGCTGAAATGAAGGTTAAGCTTTTCCATGAAAAAAACCCAAACCAATAACTTTTACTCATATAAAAATTGTAAGTAAGTGGGCAAAGAAAAGGTGACATTCCTTTATTCACATTACGTTCCTAGATTTCAGGGGAAATTGTAGGATAGCCATTACAAGGTCAAGCACTGAACAGCAGCAAGAATCAAAGCAGCAGAAGCATATGTCTTAGGAGAACCTTAATCACATTAAAACATATGGCTAATTCCCCAAGGCTTGGTTTTGCAACCTCAGCAACATTCTAGTGTAGTTTTGCAGATAATACACCATCATCATTGGATGAGACAGAAGTCCAAACTGGCAAGGTGTGATAGGTCACATACAGACACATTAGGAAGCTGTCACAAATTCAGAATGCCTACAGTTTAAGAGGTTATATATGTTCATTCATTACTTTTTAATGAGAACATTACAATTAAGAAAAAGCTAATTCTGTAATTAACAAGAAGCTGAAAGACAAGGCAATGCTGGTACTTCTCAACAATGGCAACAAATGTTTAATTTGCTGCAGCTATCTACCAGAAGGGACATTTGTCAAGTGCAAACTTCTGAAATCAAATAATCTTATCATTTTGCCCTATGTGTAATAAGTAAGTATACTACTTATCTTATATTTTGATTTTTACTTTTAAAGAAAGAAAAAACTAATTTACAGATTAAGGGGACTTACAGCAATTGATTTCATCTGATTTGTCTACACAGTCATGGTCACCGTCACATACCCAGTCAGCTGTTATACATCTCCCATCTCCACACTGATGATGTGTCACCTGATTACAATCTAAATAAAATGCAAATTCGAGGGGAAAAAAAAAAAGGTTATAAATTACCATTTCTGTAATTTATATTATTGATCACTTGTGCTATGCCTATGAGCTATTCATTCTTACAAATAAGCCATTTTGCATTAGTAACTCACAATAAGATTTTCTGTACCTGCAGATGGTAGTTACATATGTTCTGAATTCTATTGCCTATATAGATAATAATGCACTCCTTTGCTCAGGTGCACTGTTGTTTCCATTTGCAAATTAACAAATCTTAGAATCTTGTTTAACAGATTAAAAGATCTTCTGGCTTCCCATCTCAAGGAGTGATTTTCAGTTAGCCAACATTTTCATTTGCCATCATGTAAAATCATTCCCTACATTTAAACTTTTAATAAGAAGTTAAAAAAAAAAGTTTCTCAGCTACCATATTTGGTACTTAATCAGAAACTATGTTTTTTGCATGCACTCACAATTTTCCATAAGCATGATCTATAAAGAAACTATTCCAATGTTCATCTTACTCTTTCTACCTGAATACTTCCACAAATCAAGAAAAGCATTCCATTAAGCAGGCTGACTTTACACCAAAATAAACAGGGAGTATAGACATAGTCCAGTCTGCCAAATCTGCTATGAAACCCACTTATAGCCTGTACAAAAAATTAGATCTTAAATTTTATATAGAAAACACTATCTCAAGATAGGAATAGCAGGAGTCAGATTAATGTTTAGAAAAGTCTTTAGTCAAAGTCAGTTTATGAAAAAAAAAACAACACAACCAAAATTGACATAAATCAGTGAAAGATATTAGAATATATTTAATTTGGAGAAGAAACATAAAACAAATCTCAGAAAAAAGTGTGCCTTGATTTCTAGTTTTGAAATTTTCTGTGCTTTCCTTAGAAAAGCAAGAGAGAAGTGAGAAATAATATTTTAACTTTTAAAGAATTATTTTAGAGTACTGAATTTTTATCATGTGTAGTACCAGGAGCAGAAGTTAGAAAAAATAAGGCTTTCAAAGTTTTCCAATATTCCAATGTGAAGGTCATTCTTTTTTATGGCAAAACCTCATTTTTTCCTATGAAAGTTAAGTGTAGGTAGAAAGACAAAAATAAGGAGGCATAACATCAAAGTTGATTGAAAACAGAATTTGAAAGAAACAGATTTTGACCATCAAAACATACAAGTTCACTATGAAGCTTATGTAAAAATAATTCAGTTATAAAACAGCTGGCATCACCAGTGTGTAGCCTCTCATGATTTGGTTTAATCTGAGTTAAATTCAGCCAAGTTAGCAAGAAAGTATCCATAACATCTTGAATTAGTTTAAAACCAATTGCAAATCAGAATATTTCTTTAAAATACCACTACCTTCAAAGTTTGGACTAACTCATAACCTTCCTTTAAACATTTTCAAATTGCATATAGAATTTGTGAGCTGTTTTTACTTTGCCAAAAAAGAGTAACAACAGGATATATTATTCTTTTAGTAGTTTAAGGAAAAAAGATTGCTGGCTTAGGAGATACTGCTATCTTAAAGACTTTAGAAAAGCATAAAACTTTCATTTACCACAGTTTTGTTCATCACTAAGGTCTCCACAGTCATCATATCCATCACAAACAAAGGTATAATTTAGGCATTTTCCTGTATTGCAACGAAATTGATCATCACTGCAGTCTACAAAACAAATTTTTGTAAAATGTTAACATGACCTTGGAACATTCATATAAACTATGACACTGGAATGTATGGACTAAAACAAGATTAGTTGAAGATACTCTACAATTTACAGGTCTGCATTAACACTTGGTGTGTACCAGTTTATTAGAATCTAAGATGGAATAACAAGAAAAATCAAAAGCAATTTTTAGACATTTTTATTTTGTTCTTACCAATTACTTTTTTTGATCCATGAGGAGAAAGTGCTCTTGTTACACATATGGACCAAAATGTTTAATTAATTTATACACATAAAGTTCTCAAGAAACGTTGTGGGTTTCATTGGCCAGATCATGAGGAGAGTCTTGACCATGTGATGTGGCTATTAGGTGAAACTGAAGCTTCTAACAGCACAATCAAGATTCACAGACCCTGCTTTTGAGCCTGCCTTTGATCTCACAATATGTTCAAACAAGCTTTACGCTTTACATAGTTTTGAGCTCAGAATTTAGCCTGATGCTGTCTCAACAGGAAATTCTAGCACTGTCAGCCCTAAGTGGCTTTAGCCTTTCTTTCTATGCTTTCGGTAAAGCCCTGATAAATATTTTCTAAGTATAGCCAAAACACTTGAATAATATCAGGTTTGATAAAAATATGGAATCTATGTTGTAGTCAGGAAACAGGGGAAAAGAGAAAACAGGGTTGGTGTTGTCCGGTCCATTTAGTAGTAACTTTTGATTACAAACATGCACTTGGGAAGCAAGTGACCTAGTTTCACTGCCTTCCTCTAGACTCTTCCTTTATATTTTGCTTTTTCAGGGAGAATGACAGGATATAGAAGAACTAGGTGGACAATCCCTCCTTCCTGTTGAAGCTATGCCACTGGAACCAAGGAAGTTCTTTGTGCCCTTTTGTACTGGGATATACGGGCATTTTAAATGAGCTCTTTCCTGGACAACATACAGAAAAATCTCCAAGAGCAGGGACTGGAACACAAGTCCCTCCCCTCAGCTGAGATGCTCAACCACTAAACAACAGAATCATGTTACTGCTTGCTTCTCTCCTCTTGTCATGTGAGCCCTGTGCTTACGAATGCACAGTGGTCTCACTGCAAAAGAAAGGTGTCCTTCTAAGTATATTGCACACTAAAAAGGCACAGCACTCTCCCAGAAGGTGCAGTGGGGTTTCTATCCCTCCAGATCAATATCAGCCAAGTGTTCCACCTCCTAGGTAAGTGCTCTAACTTTAAATTTCTCAAGGCTTTACCAAGCTCAACTCTAGAACTTGAACATGAATCACTTCTTCCTCTTCCCCCACAGAACTATTCGTGCTTTCTACAAGGTTCACATAATCTTAGAAAGTCCAAACAGAATTTACAGCACACAGCAAAGGACAGTGCTTCAGGACATAAAGTAAAATCATACGGTGGAGCCATGAGCTTCATAGTCAATAGTTAATTTAGCTTTAAAAGAACAAAAGATGAAAGAGTAAATACCAAAAACCTCAAACTAAATGAAAATATTTAAGTTATAGTTTCATGTAAGCAGAACAATTAGCTGTGACTAAAATTCTATACATTACTTGTTCTGAGTGTGCAACAGCATGAAGTACTCTGGCAACCTTTATCCTTATTGATCAGTTTGTAACTCTGACAGTTTCTATCAGTATCTATTCATTTCCTCATGCAAATGAAACAAAGCTGCCTTTCTATGTCGTTTCCTCTGGATAAGTTTACTGTTTAATTTCCATCCATACCCCCATTCCTGTTTACATTCGCATCTCTGTAGCTGCAACAATGTCCTTTAGGGCATAGCAGCTCTCAGGCCCACAGACAAGGTAAACAAAAATAATACAAACTTCCTTGCAAGCAAGAACCACTTGATGAAAACCTAAGAGTCTTAACATACATTTTCTTCAAGATACTGGCAATAACTTATAGTATAGGGTAGTGAGTTACTTCCATCAGAATAAGATAGGCGTTTTGCAGCTGTCATTTGTAAAAGGTTCAACAACTTAAATTTTTTTTAACGATGGGACAAGCCCAGTTTTCATAAAATTAAATACAAATTCCTATTCTATACTCCACTAAACACAAATAAAGCCTGGTCAATCTTTTGCATTCAGCAATCCTTTGATCGTTATTCATGCATACCCTGTTTTCACCACTTCACTATTGCATCATGTGTCCCTCTGACCATGAATCACCTCAGCCCAACACTCAGAGGTGATTTTAGGAGTCCTAAGTTTTAAAGATGTATGTTTAAAGAGATATGTGGATATGTACAAATTCTGTCACTTCAATTCAACAAGGCACTGTTCTGGAGTGTGGCATGCAGCACCATATGTATATAAACATTTTTTTTTGGTATTTTATTACTAAAACAGTCATCAACTTGTTCACCCTTTGTGAAAGAGATGTATGACTAAGAAAGTCACATGAGCAGGAAGTAACACAAGCTAACAGCCCAGCAGAAATGCCTCTACACCAATGCATGCAGCATGGGCAACAAACAGGAGTTGGAAGCCACTGGGCTGCTAGAAAGCTGCAACCTAGTTGCCATTACTGACGTTTCATGGGATGAATCCTGTGACTGGACTGCAGCTATTGATGGCTACAGGCTATTCAGAAGGGACAGGCAAGGAAGGAGGGGTGAAAGGGCTGCCCTCTGCATCAAGAAATGGATGAAGTCTGAAGAGCTGTCTCTGAAGAACAGCCATGAGCAGGTTGAAAGCTTATGGGTAAGAATTAGAGACCAAGGCAAAAAAGGGAACCTTGTGGATGGCATCTACTACAGGCTGCCTGATTAAGGGGAGCTATTGACAAAGCCTTCTTACTGCAGCTACAGGAGGCTTTGCACTCACAGGCTCTCATCCTGCTGGGGGACTTCAACTACCCCAACAACTACTGGAAAAGTAGCATAGCAAGCTGTAGGCAATCCAGGAGACTCCTGGAGTGCATGGAGGATAATTTCTTAACAGACAGCCTTACCAGAAGGGATGCGATACCAGACCTGATGGTCACCAAAGAGAGTGAGCTGATCAGTGACATCAAGATTGGAGGCAGCCTGGGCTGCGGTGATCACACACTGGTGGAGTTCACAGTCCTGAATGACACAGGTCAGGCAAAGAGTAAAGACAGGACCCTGAACTTTAGGAAAGCAAACTCCCAGCTCTTCAAGAAGTTAGTCAATAGGACCCCCTGGGAAACTGCCCTGATGGACAAGGGTGCAGAATACATCTAGCAGATCTTTAAGGACACTTTGCACAGACCACCAGAGCTCTCGATCCCCAGGTGTAAGAAATCAGGAAAGCAAGCCAAGAGACTGACATGGCTGAGTCGAGACCTGCTGGTCAAACTAAAGGGCAAGAAGGAAATGTACATGGTGGAAGCAGGGACAGGTATCCTGGGAAGAGTATAGGGATGCTGCCTGGTTGTGTAGAGATGAGGTCAGGAAGGCCAAGGCATGACTGGAGCTGAACTTGGCAAGGGACACAATAATAAGGGATTCTATAGGTATGTCAACCAGAAAAGGAAGGTTAAAGAAAGTGTACCCCTCAGATGAGCAAGACTGGCAAGCTGGTAACAATGGACAAGGAGAAGACTGAAGTAATCAATGACATTTTGCCTCAGTCTTCACTGGCAATCTCTCTTCCCACACCTCTCTAGTGAATGGGCTGCAAGATGGGGACTACAGCCCTCCCCCTGTAAGAGATCAGGTCTATGACCACCTGAGGAACCTGAACATGTATAAGTCTATGGGACCTAACAAGATGTATCCCAAAGTCCTGAGGGAACTGGCCAGTGTAATCACCAAGCCACTCTCCATGATATTTGAAGTCACGGCAGTCAGGTGAAGTCCCCAGCAATCGGAAAAAGGGAAACATTGCACCCATTTTTAAAAAGCGTAGAAAGGAGGACGACCCTGGGAACCACTGACCTGTCAAGTCTCACCTCTTTGCCTGAGAAGAGCATGGAACAGACCCTACTAGGAGCTATGCTAAGGTACACGAAGGACAGGGAGGTGATTTGAGACAGCCAGCATGGCTTCACCAAGGGCAAGTCCTGCCTGACCAACCTAGTGGCCTTCTATCATGGATTGGCTACATCAGTGGACAAGGAAAGAGCTATGGATGTCATTTCTCTGGACTTCTGCGTGGCCTTTGTCACAGTCCCCCACAACATCCTTCTCTCTAAATTGGAGAGATACAGATTTGATGCAGTGAGTGAGGAATTGGTTCGAATGTTGCGTCCAGAGGGTAGTGGTCAATGGCTTGATGTCCAGATAGAGATCAGTGACAAGTGGTGTCCCCTAGGGATCCATACTGGGACCAGTGCTGTTTAACATCTCCATCAATGCCATAGACAGTGTGATCAAGTACACCCTCCGCAAGTTTGCAGATGACACCAAGCTGAGTTGTGTGGTTAACATATTGGAGGGATGGAATGCCATCCAGAAGGGCTTGGATAAGTTTGAAAAGTGGACTTGTGTAAACCTCATGAGGTTCAACAAGGCCAAGTGCAAGGTCCTGCACCTGGGTTGGGGCAATCTGCAGTATCAAAACAGGCTGGGGAACGAAGAGATTGAGAACAGCCCTGTGGAGAAGGACTTGGGGGTACTGGTGGATGAAAAGCTGGACATGAGATGGCAACGTGCACTTGCAGTCCAGAAGGCCAACCATATCTTGGGCTGCATCAGAAGGAGTGTGGCCAGCAGATTGAGGGAGGTGATTTTCCCCCTCTACTCCACTCTGGTGACACCCTAGTACTGCATCCAGCTCCAGAGTCCTCAGTAAAGACATGGACCTGTTGGAGTGGGTCCAGAGGAAGGCCACAAAAGTGATCAGGAACACCTCTCCTATGAGGAAAGGCTGAGAGAGTTGGGGTTGTTCAGCCTGCAGGAGTGGCCTTTCAGTACTTAAAGGCGGCTTCTAAGAAAGACAGGGTCAGACTTTTTAGTAAGGCCTATAGCAGAAAGACAAGGGGTAATGGTTTCAAACTAAAAGAGGGTAGACTTAGACCAGATATAAGGAAGAAATTTCTTACAATGAGGGTGGTGAAACACTGGAACAGGCTGCCCAGAGAGGTGGTAGATGTCCCATCCCTGGAAACATTCAAGATCAGGTTGAACGGGGCTCCGAGCAACCTGATCCACACCTGGAGTACTGTGTCCAGTTCTGGGGCCCCAGTTCAAGTGGGACAGGGAACTACTAGAGAGAGTTCAGTGGAGGGCTACTAAGATGATGAGGGGATTGAAGTATCTCTCCTAAGAGGAAAGGCTGAGAGACCTGGGGCTTTTTAGCCTGGAGAAGACTGAGAGGGGACCTTATCAACACTTACAAATATCTAAAGGGTGGGTGTCAAGAGGACGGGGCCAGGCTCTTCTCAGTGGTGCCCAGTGACAGGACAAGGGGCAACGGCCAAACTGCAGCACAGGAAGTTCCACCTCAACATGAGGACAAACTTCTTCACATTAAGGATGTCAGAGCACTGGAACAGGCTGTGCAGGGAGGTTGTGGGGTCTCCTTCCCTGGAGATATTCAAACCCCACCTGGATGCAGTCCTGTGCAACCTGCTCTAGGTGAACCTGCTTTAGCAGGGGGGTTGGACTAGATCATCTCCAGAGGTCCCTTCCAACCCCTGCTATTCTGTGATTCTGTGATCTAGCTAAAGATGTACCTGCTCACTGCAAGCGGGTGGTACTAGATGACCTTTAGAGCTCCCTTCCAATCCAAACCATTCTATGATTCTATAAGGTGACTCAAGAATTTGAGACAGGCAAGGATTGCAGCAAAACACATACCTTTTATCAGACAAACTTTCAGGCAAATAAGTCCTCCTTCAGTTTTGCTGTTTCTGCTGTGCAATTCAAGAAGGTCTTATTTGACCTCCACCCCCTCTCCCAAAATCTTACCAAGTATCTTACTAAAAGACATTCTCTGCCTATAAACCCTGTGTCATTTAACAGACAGACTCTCTTTTAAAGATAGTCTTAATTCGTTAAATTTATAGTGCTTGTTTTTTCAAGACACGTAATATTTTTATTCTTATATTAGTAATTTCTTCTTTTCCCATTTCTAATGGAACTTGAGACCCACAGTCTCATAGGCATTTTTCAATTTTTTAGCTTGCATTAAAACTGAAGTTAACACTGACAGGAAAAATTCAAAGATAAAAACATACAATACTTTTTATGTAACAGAAATTTTATCAACCTCCATTAAACAAACTGCAGGCTATTAAAGGAAAAGCAAGCTCTAGCCTCATTCATATTGAGACTAAGAGGAAATTGCAGCCATCATTTATTCCTTGGAGTATCCCAGATTAAATCTGTCAGCAACTTCCTTAAAAGCAGCTCTGCGGCTCTTGGAACGCCCAGGCTCTTAAATCACTACTAAGAACAAATCTTTTGAGGTGAATCTAAACTTCAGAGTCTGGAATTCAACCCTAGGTCTGACATTTTCCAAAGTCTGAATGCACAGAACACTGTTGCAGCATCATGTCCTACTATAATCTCTATTTTGTCCCACATTTTCTTTTTTCTTTTTTTTTTTCCTTTTCATTGTTTTCCTACTGTACATTTGCTCAGCTTTTCCAAAGTTAGTAGTAGTCCAAGGATGTTTTTGTCAACATGGGAAAACACATAGAAGCTCTAAAGACACACACTACCACATACAAATAAACAAGAAATTAAGATATTAAGCATGTATATTAATTTTTCTTTTCTACTGCACCATATACTGGGATTTATTTAAATAAACCACATCCAGGGTTGAGGCCAAAAGAACTTTCTAAACAGATGGTTTTGCATCTGCTGTAAAATCAATGCCGAGGACTAGAAAAAAGACACAACTAACAGCTTCAGTTTATTATCAGAAGTGCTCTTCTGATGCATGTTCTGATCCCTTAAAAAAAAATGCCCCAAAATATTTCTAATTTCCACATGGCTCCTTGCAGAAATGTTAGAAACTGCTTCTGGGCAAAAAATTTGATAGATCAAAAAACACATGCTGTGGCCAGAGTGAGCAAATACATTGAATGGCAACTGAGGGAATCCAAGTCTCAATATATGCAAATACTGTGCAAAGCTCCTATTCTGTACCAATAGCCTTCTTTAGTTTTCAGGTTTCCCTGAATTGATTCAGTGTTTCAAAGTGCAAGGTTTAAGAAGCTTACTGCAGTGGACTTCATCACTCCAATCATCACAGTCATTGTAGCCATTACACTGCAGTTTCCCTGGGATGCAGATCCCACTGGCACACAAGAAACTCTCTCCTCCACACAGTGCTGGAAAAGAGAAGAAAAGAAAGAATGCATTTTAAACTTTTCAGGGTAAGAAGAAACAAGCAGAAATAAAAGATGGTTAGAACAATGAGTCTTAATTCATGTATTCATCAACAAACCCCCAATTAATCAAATTCAAGCAAGTGCAAACTGGTATTTGCAGTCAGGCTGCTCAACAAAGCTAAACAAAGCAGAAAGTTTCACCTCCAATCTAACTTTTGTTATTTCAAAAATAGGTATCCAGGCTGAGTTAATCAGTGAGGTTCAATCTAGCATAACCTCAAACACAGCTGTACAGAGTAACTGTTAAAAACTGACCTTAGGATGGGATTAAATAAGCTTTTTTTTTTTTCCTTTAAATAGATGCATCAGATTAAATATCCAACTAAAGTTAAAACAGATAGATCTTCTCAGCCTAGATGTTCAGGCAAAAGATCACCAAGTTGAGACTTAATAGCATCATAGCACAGACACCTTTCTACAGGGGAAGGATTCCTCAAACATTCTTATAACTCCTTGAACACTAGAAGACAGTCTTCATTGCCATTTGATATATGGGGAATTGAGATGCCTAAAGAGACAAAAAACAACCCTGGAGTGTTAGATATCCCACTGGAGATACCTTGCAGGGCCATTATGTTCAGAGGGAGGGAACTCATAACATCTTCCCATTTAAAAGTCCTTCAATGCACTTAAAATACAGAGATGTAGATCACCATTAATTTGTTTAGACCTTAGTCCATGCAAAAGGGATCAAACATCGAAGCCTTTGCTTTAAAAAACACTGGCTAAGAAAAATCACTGTAAAGCATACAGATGGGGAAGATATCAAGTGAAAATTACACGGGGATGCAAAGTAAAGATGTCAAGCTTAAAAGCAAATATTCAGTACAGAACCTAGTTGTTGGGTTTTGGGTTGGGTTTTTTTTGTTTTCCTTTTTTTCCCAAAAGCCGTAGTTAACAGTCAGGCTGCTCAACAAAGCTAAACAAAGCAGAAAGTTTCACCTCCAAGTAAAAGATCAGCAAAATCCCCTAATAACTTTACTTTAAGCATATATTTCTGAAATGAGAAATAGCTTTCAGGGATGGAGGTAAAAAAACCTGTCACTTTGCCGGCATACAGTTATTAAGTGTAACCAGGCATGAGAACAGAAAGTTCAAACAATAAAATCGCATGAAAGTTCAACATTCTACTCATAGAAATTCTATTGTAATTCAAACTTTGTATCCAAGTTTACCAAGAACAATAAGTATCTCTAATTGTAGCTTTCAAATGCAAATCATGGGTATGAAAAAACATGTTTCAGCAGCAGCAGTTATAGAATCTCTTCCACCATTAAAGTCAGTTTGCACCTGATCACAACATAGCTACATATTTCTCATTTTAAAAAGTCAAAATTTTCATTTTTCCTATTCCTATAGGAAAATTCAGTGTCCATTTCTTCTGTTATTCTCTGAACCTGATGCTTAACAAAGTCTGGAAAGTATATTTATGATCTACATCTCAAAAGCAAAAAATGCACATTGGGTATTCTCATCATAATTTTGTATTCCTCATAACATGTCTACCAACAAGTATATTCATGCAGAATACAGTTTAAAATTAAATCAAGGAAAAATAACCAAATATCTAATGAAATAATTTTTAGTAGCATAAGCTTTTATGACCTCAGTTTGGCACTGCAATAAATGATTGCACAAAGGTAACACACTACATAAATTTCAGATGAAGCCATTAATAAATCAATGACTATGATGATGTTCATGTCAGGATTTTACTTGGTGCTGCACTCAGTAGAATTCCTAGTATAAAGAATTATTCTTAACAGTGAAGTATTAACCACAATAATGTGTTGATTAAGTACATTCTTGGGCAAATAAAAACTGAGCTTAAGTAAAAGATCAGTCCTAAAATCACGCACTGCTAATGTCCCATTTAAACACCCCTTTCTGGAGCCAACATTTCACTTACAAAAGGAGGGAAAGTTCTTTTTAATCTCTTCCAACAAAACAGTCTGTCATGAGGTAACTCAGAGCACACAATTAATCTCATTTTATACGTCTTCAAAAGAATAGAAACAACAATGAAACAAAATGGAAAGCAAAGTGGTGCTAATGAAATCTGGCAGTTTCACAAAGCATGCAAATACAATTTAAGGACAGAAAAGATGAAAGGTAGAAAAAGATGAGAAATGTGAACTAATAAATATTGACTCTCCATGCTGCTACATTAATTTTTTATCTGCTTTATTTGGTTGTTAAGCCATAGTGCTTCATAGAATTTCAGGAATTCATTATTTAGTGTTGTATCTTTTGATTTTAGTAAGTGTATCATAAAAGAAAGCTTGATGGAAACTTTTTTCTTACGATCTCAAACACATGGCTTTTATCTTCTAGTGCTTTAAACTGCAGGGTAGAAAGTGTTATGCCTCTTTTTTTTCCTCATGTGAAAAGCTGAAGCATAGGAGGCCCAAGTGGTTTGTACAATGACAAATAAGGAATCAGGTGAACAATTCTAAGTGGTTTATAGAAGTGTATTCCTAAAAATTTAAACCTAAATCAGAAAAAAAGTTATCTCCCTGTTCTGACAAAGTAAGCCTTTTACTTCTTGAAGCATGCTGGTCTTTACAACAGTTTCTTACCAGGAATTTTGGCTGTTGATGGGAGACCAGTATCCCTCAGCCCTGCCATTGCCTTTACTTTGGCAAGGGACAGTTTGTCAGCCTTCATGTTACCCTAATAACTGTCTCTTCTCATTCTCTCAAAGAGCTTCCAGTGATGACCAGGACTCCTTCTGAACCGAGGCCCAAGACCTGGGTGGTTTTGTACTATTCCTCAGTTGTGCTGGTTTTCTTTTCACTGGTATCCTTAATCTGCAGCCACCAGGTACAACCTATAGCCTAGAATACAGCTTTTTGCCATTCTTTTGATTTCTTGAATCCACCAGGACAACTTGCCCATAGTGACTGTCAGAGCCATGAGTGCAAAAATAGGCCTTGAATGACCCTGACCAGCTGCACCTGGGGCCTCACTCACACCATGCCCACAGGCTCAAGCCCTGCCTGAGCACTGCTGTAGGCACAACCTTATATTCAGCTCCAGCTCCTGGACGGATCCCTCATATATACATTGTGGCTGGTCTGCAGCCCTAACTTTGGCCCTGGTTCCTAGCTGGAGCCATACTGGAGCCTTGGCACCAGTCCTGCCCGCTGACTGGGGTCTCTGATTGGACTCTGGACCTGGTTCATCAGTTTGCCATGTCTAGGGCCAGCTCTGCCTGATGCATTCAGGCTCTGCCTCTCAGCACAGCCTGACCTTAGCTCCCAGTTTGCCTGCCTGGAGGGAGCAGTCCCACTCCTGCTGCTCCTTGATAGTGACCTCCACTCCTTGGCTACTTCGTTTTAAGGAAAATCCCACCTGAAAATACAGATAATATTCCCTTACACAGTACAAGTCTCCATCATCCTTTTCCCTAAAATTCTTTCTTTTCTTTTTCTGACTTATAAAACATCCCCCGTTATTTTGTGGCTGAGGAGCAGACAGAAAATTTATTTGAAAAACTCATTACTTTCTCTAGTAAAACTGAATTTCATGCCTTGTCTTATTAAATACCATAAGCTTGACTTGATTTTTCACAGTGAAAAAAAAAAAATCAAGTTACTTGCAAAAAATCCATACGTGATCTTATTCATTAAAATTAGCTGATTTATAAAAGCACTATGAAGCAACATCATAAAAAAAAAAGCCTACACAAGGCAAGATGTTCTTACAGAATAAGGAAAAATTTGCATTCCAGAGATAAAGGTTCTCTTTCCAGCTCTGTTGCAAACTTTTTGCCATTTCAGGCAATCTATGCCTTAGCTCCATATATATAAAGAGACAAAAAACCTTCTCTGTTTTCTTGGGCTCTTTGAGGAGAAAAATCATTAGCCTCAGTACTACAAAGTTAATGCTGCAAGAGTCTTAAGAACTTATTTTCACACTGAAACTGATATTCAAGATTTTCCACAGGGATTGAAATATATTTCCATTTTGGATATATTTCCATCAGCATAGCTCTCAGAGGAACATCACTGAATACAAGAAGACCAAGAGAAAATCCTGGAAGAGAAACCTCAATGGAAACAAGGACAAAGCCATTTAAAACTGCCATCAGTCAATGAACCATTTTAAAAGACCTCAACAGGTCTTGAAAACAGTCATGAAAAGGCTATTACACCTGTTAAATCTGCCCTTGGGACTAAAGAAGGAGCCTCTAATGTGCCTACAAAAAAATACAGTAATTTCTACTCATGATCAGCCTTTCTGTATAGCAACGTGATATTCTTCACAATTTGCCGAACCGCAAGTTGCACAGCAGATCCTGTGATGTACCACCAAGCACTGGACATGTAGAGTATGTTTTTAAAAAATGACAAATAACTCCAGCTTGGACTGACTGAAAGTGCAATTAATTATCCAGATTTCCAATTTTACTTGTGGTCCTAGCATAGCAGTCCTTTCTAATGCACTATGGCGCACACACACTCTCTTAGTACCTTCATTTTTACTCTTAAGTTTTGGCAGCTGGGGATTATCCTTTTACAATATGTTTACATGCTTTTCTAAGCCAGAAATATTATTTTATCATCCCCAAGAAACAGGCAAATCTTAGGCACAGTCAACTGACACACACAACCTTGTATGAAAAATGTGTTTGTAATGAAAACTTACATGAATAATTTCAAAATCTTTTCTATTACATTCCCAGGTGCCTTCTCCACTTGGACAGCACACGATGTCGATTTTGCAATAAACCCATTATTTTCCAGCTGTGTAATGGGGCCACAGTTATTGCAGTGAAAGCTACTTACACAATATATTTTAAAGAAGGTTTCTAACTTTACAGAAAGATGCCCAAAATACATGAGACTTTAAAATGAAAATTTTCAACTAATTTGTGCCATTTAATGTTTATGCCTCTTAATCAGAAGCAAGGTAGGGCAAAACCACCAGCACCACCCTTTTGCACACCCTTATAATGTGTTCCTCTGTAGGTCCCCTCACTACCCCCTGCATGGTTGAATATGTTTCCTAACTTTTAATTGAAGAGTTACAGCCTCACCTCTATTCTACCACTTTTGGAAGGGTATTACAAACTGCAAAATATGATAGTCTTAACAGAAGCATAAGATTAGGTAACATTCACATTTTCATTTTACACGGAAAAAAGTGAGGCACTGAGATATTAAGGTGAAAGTTATAAGAAAAAATGAGTAACAACTTCAATTCTCCAATCTAAGACACGACAGTATGTGATTTTTTTTTTTTTCTGGAGAGTAAAGGCTCTGATGTTATTTTACATGTTCAAAGAACAGCTCCTGTTACCTTAACTTGTAGCTGCAAGAGCATGTTCCAACTGCAAGTAAACCCTGCTATACAAATGAAGAGGCCCAGTAACTGGAAGTGTGTAAAGAACAGTTGAGAAAACTTTGATGCCAGTACTTTGCTCGACATTACACATGATCTCTGCAGCAGTGACAGGGAAAAAAAATCTCATTCTATATTATAACATCACATCTTCTTTATTATGAACCAATTTTTTTGTTTCTCCAGTTCCCTGACTTGTGCATTGCACTTTCCACTTGCTACAATCAGTAAGCCCTGCAGGGAGGCCTAGAAACAACAGCTTTCCTCATTACGGGCTCTGGTTCCCTGTAGACCACTGTTTATCCCATGGACAATGGTGTCAAGAAAAAATAGAATATGATAACATAAATAAAAGTCTATAATTCATCATACAAGAAAAGCTGTTTGAGACTGGAAAGGCAACTTTAACTGACTTGGAAATCTTACATTCTTCTAACTTGGGCTTTTATGCCATTTCCTGCATGTTCAAAAAAGAAAACAGCATAAATAGATCAAAAAGAACTATTAAAGGAACCATCAGTACAGATTGTCACTGGTACTAAAAGCGCAACAATAACAGACTTCTACCTTCTGTGTGAATATGCCTATTTGGCCTGGGACAACACAGGTAAAAACCAGGAAGGATATTTTTCCTACAGGTCAGGAGAGCAAACATTCTGGAGTCCCATATTCATTTCTAAGCTGTGAACAAAAGCATGTTCAAGCACTTATAAACCATTCTGCCTATCCCTTCTAGTACATCTCTATCCTATTCTGCACCTATCCATTTGGATTTCCATCCCAATCCATTTCTCCATCTCTTCTTAAAGTAAGCATCTTCCTATTTATCTTGTATGTTATATGGAAACAAGAGGGAAAATTAAATCAGTTTTCCTTCTCTCAGTTTTAGCACTCAGCAGCAATCAGAAGGAATTTTAAGAAAAATTAATCTCACCTCTTGCAGTCTTCTAATAGGTGATGACTGGATATGTTTGGTCCAGTCAGTGCAGAGTTCAGGACAAGGAGATCACACATACTGTGAACAGTAGCTCAAATTAATGTAATTTCTGCTTTCTACCAAGCTTGTGCAAGAAGATGCTTTTCAGAAGGCTGACAATTTGATCATACCCCCAAAGATCAGATTTTAATGGAAATCAGAAAAGCCTTGTCTTACGCTGTAAAACACTTCTGTTGAATTTTGATATTTGATTTGAAACCTAGAGAATGTAGATATGCAACCATTTATAGGACTTTCTTGAACACAGGCAAACAGCTGCATATTCAGAAATGCTGTGACTGTTTGAAACAAAGCAGAAGAATAATAAGAAATAAAGCCTAAATACATGGCTGAAGTAAAAAAAAAAAAATACAGACCATTACACTCAAATTTGCCAAAATTATTAAAAATTGTAAAGGTGTTATTATAAAGTAATGGGCTGGGAAATGTTAATTATTGATGTCTGTCAGTAATTCACATCTTCATTAATATAATCACGCAAATATTCACACCCCCAAACTCCTGAAGAAGAAACAATGTTAGGCATAAGGAACCCAAAGAAAATGGAAGCAATCCTTGCCGATAGAAAAAATTGCTTGTTTTAGACCATCCTCAGAGAGATGTACAATATGGAAAAGCTTCCAAAATCCCTGACTTAACACATTTGGTGGCAAGAAGTGCTTGATTTTACCTGCCTCTGGCGTACTATCAAAAGTGTTTCTGAGGAGCCAAGACCATTCATGTGCTGCAGTTCCCAGCTAGATTAGTGGAATGCCATCTACACAAGATTATGCAGGCAGGTCCCTGGAAAGCTGCAGATAGCACAGACTGCAATAAACATATTCTACCATCTTCAAGGTTGACATTTGGTTGCATTTCAAGGTATAGCGATAGATAAAGCACTGTATATCTGTGAAAACGACCATGAAAAGTGCTGATAATTTTTTCAAAATGAAGAGGAGACAACATTCACTGTCTAATGCTATGAAAGAACTAGGATGTATCAAATAAAATTGCCTTTAAAACAATCAAAAGGTGGTACTCTCCATACAACACCTAGATAAGCTTAACACTTTGCACCAGGATAATATGGATGATAAAACGCACATAGATGCAAGAAACAAAGAAACACACTAATAGAAGAAATATCTATGATAGGTCACAAAATACAGAAAAGTCCTTGAATCCCAAACAGATGGAAAATGCAGGCATATCTTGGAAAAGTATTGTCACATGGTCTTGCCCTGTTCTTCTCCAGGCATCTGATTTTCACAGCTTTTGGAGTCAGCATTACAAGAGAGATGGGCTTTTCATCTGACTCAATACAGTCACAACAGCACAGTGGGACACAGAGGAATTCCTGTGTTCTCTTGCATGCAAATTTTCATCACCTGCTTCCTATACCCTATGTACCCTGTGGTACAGTGTATGCATCTTGTAGCTGTCAATTCTAGAAAGTTTTGATACTCCTATGACGATCACAGAATTAGGAAAGCTGGCCACCCCTCTTCC